GGGGGGGGAGTCTTCATTGCTTCGACCACTAATCGCGGCGATTTCACGCATTTTTTTTTTTTTACGAGCATGATTCTTTTCCAGTATCCTATTAGAGACAGGTGGTTGCTGGCGAAATCGGGATGCGTGCTAGCCTTCGTAATCACGCTCTTCTTCCTGCACAGTCTACCTCAGTTACATCTGTCCTTGGGCTGGATCGCTCTGATCGGCGTTCTGCTGCTTCTGATACTGGCCGACAGCGAGGATTTCGACGGCGTCATGGCGCGCGTTGAATGGAGCACCTTGCTCTTCTTCGCGTCGTTATTCATTCTCATGGAGGTAGTGTGTCGGGAAAACTCTATGAAAAAATTCCTTTTGCCAATTTTAATGTAGACCCTCCTCGAGACGCAGTTTTTTTTTTCGGATTGAAAAAAATTCGTCGGAAAGTTTAACGGCATTTGAAAAATAAATAGGCGCTCTCGCGTATGGGCCTCATCTCGTGGATCGGCAAAAAAACCGAAGATTTTATTCTGTCGGTCAACGAAGAGTCTCGATTAGCGGTTGCCATACTACTGTTGCTCTGGGTGTCGGCCTTGGCTAGCTGCTTCGTCGACAACGTACCGCTCGCGACCATGATGGTGAGAATCGCGACGAATCTCGCCCAAAATCCCGAGCTCGGCCTGCCTATGCAGCCTCTGGTGTGGGCACTGACATTCGGGGCTTGTATGGGAGGTAAGAAATTTTCTAGATTCAACGGTCGTTCTCGCGAAAACTAAGTCAGTCTGAAGCTGCACGAAGTTCGCTCCCAAAATTATCTTGCGAGCTTTGTGCGGCATCAGCGATTTGGTTCCCTCAAATTACACGATTTCGCGTTTGGATTAGTCGAAGGCCATGCGAAAGCTGGCGCTTTCGAACGCGGCGGCAAGAGCGCCAGTTTTTTTTTTTCAGTATTCACATGGCCGAATAGCAGTGTTGCTTAGCTATAAAGTTATGTTTAAAGGAAATGGAACTTTGATTGGAGCTACTGCCAACGTTGTTTGCATGGGTGTCGCGGAACAGCACGGCTACAGATTCAGTTTCATGCAATTCTTCAGGTGAGTGAGACGTCACGAAGCCGCGGCTCGACAGGAAATGTGTCACCGCGTTTCGGAGATTCTTGTCATTTCCCGTCATTGAAGTATCGCGTAATCAAAGGCCGACGCCGCGTGATTGTGTTGCAGGGTAGGATTTCCTATCATGATTACGAGTACCATAACGATTATGGTATATCTGATAATCGCCCACGTCGTCTTCGAATGGAACGGAAAATAAGTAACGGAGACACACGAGTGAGGGATCTGTTCAACGTACAAGAAAAAAAAAAGATGCTTGTACTCGTTATTGTACTTATTATATAATTTTTTTTTAAGAGTAGAGAATATCCATTGCGCAACATTTGCCGAACGTAGTTCTGTAAAGTATGCTATGCGAAAAGAGAACATAAAGAAGTATGTTACGCGAAAAGAGAACCTAAGAATCGATATGGACAAAGTCGTTTTATACTTCCAGTATATTTCTACATACAATTTGTTATCACAAGAAAAAGAAAAACTCTGTATATCTCTGTGTAACACGGCCGAACTTCTCTATTCTTCCCTCCAAATCTTATTCTTATTCTAATGACACACGCGTAAGATAAAAATGTTGCGCGTCTTGTCTTTCGTTCGCTTTTTTTTTTTGGTAAGCAAACTTGTGCATGTGGTCGCACAATCACGTGGCAAATATTCAACGGAAAAAGCACTACAGAAGAACTTCAATTCGTCAGAAGAACAGCTGTTTCAGAATAGAAGAGTTCTGCTATATGTAAAATCAGTTATATTGTAATATAAATATAACTGTAAATCTCACTTGCAATAAATATTGTTTTCTCAAGATCCTTTCCGCTTGTCTTTAACGACGAAGCACAACGATATTAAACATTAAATATTAATAAAGAAGATTACAATTGGCAGGTCGTAATTGCAAAAAGGTTTAATGATCACATAAAATACACATACACATGCTAGACGATTCGTTGAAATATTTTTTTTATTAAAAATGAGGCTCTCTGGGAGAAGAGAAAAAGATCTCAATTCCAAAGATTGCCGCCCGGCGGATTTCGACAAAATCAAATAACTTATCGCAAACTTTTTATATTCGTGTCCTCCTAATGCATATTATGACCCCACAATTCAGCGTAATACAGTCGCACTCGAGTTAAACTGCATGTCATAAAACCTGTTCCTTACAAAAATAATAATAATAAATGACAGTAAATTATCATGTGATGCATCGTTAACGCGCGAAATTTATTAAACTTATACGAGTATAAGCGTGAACGTTAAGAGTTTACTGAACTTGTTTGCGTTTAACAAACGACATTCAGAATCGTGTGCACACAGTGTACACGAAAAGAAATTTCTTACAAACGATAAAAAAAAGGGGCTGCGTTTGCTGTAAAAATATTGTCCTATTTACAATGAATATAACGTATAAGTAATGTCATGTTAAAAAAAACGATGTCTCCGCTTCACTGTAATCTGTAAGTACCACAAATTTCAAATGATACGTCAAATTGCTTCTCTTCCACTTGCATAGAATTTTATTCCCACACAGGCGGAAGCGACATACTTTTATATAAATCGTACGTTTTGGATTTCGAAGTTTCGATAATCTGCAAAAAAATCTATAGAATTAGCCGTTTGTCATCTTAATTAAAAAAAAAAAAAAAAAAAAAACAAATTTATGTGGACATCCAGAATGTTATTTGCTGAAATTGCAGAGTATTGCCGAAACATTACTTGAAAAACTCACGCGAACGAGTATAGTCTCACAGATGTAACGAAGGAAATCGTCGGTTCGAAAAAGAAACTTATCTTAAACATGACTGATCAATTTTACTACACAGTTACACTATAGATTATATTTGTATGAGTCTGATTTTAATGCGATTATACAATGTTTTCGTCAAGTCAGCGCCTACGCTCTTACCGGGAAATGCGAAATCGTGAACGAAAATCTGCATCTTGCTAATATTCGTTAACGCCGAACTGCGAACGAACTTAACTTAAAGAACAAAATCCAGACACTTAGCGCAGTAAAGGCATTCTTCGAGCTCGCGTAACTACCTGAGATATCTTATATAGTTTTTTTTTTTTCAGTCGTTGAAACGCACAGATTCCTATATAACACTGCTGGACTACTTAATACTCGGATATACCGCCAGAAAACATACACGAGCGAAAGCTAGCTAACGAAGTGTACCCCAGTTTAGGAATAAAATGTTCGAGATGTCCGCGATTCAAGAAAAGAAAATAACTTGGATTTGGAGAAGCCGACACACACATACGTATCCTTCAACGGAGCATCATACATATCGGTTATGTAAAATCTTAAAAAAAAAAACCCTCGGAAGAATATACAAAAAAGAAAAACATCGCGAAGGATGTAACTGGGATGAGATATGTAGTGTCGCGTTGTATGTTTCTCCGAGCGGTGTAGCAGTCTTATATATTCGATATTTCTAACGGTACAAAAAAGAAAAAAACGCACACATCTCCACGTCAATGTAAGAGAGCGCCGAAAGCAACATCTAGACGCGCAGTCGATATTAAAACCTGTCGCCCCTAATATTAAATCTTCGATCTGTCGATATAGTGATGTAGAAAAGGGTGTGGCGAAAAAGGCGAAGTTGCGCGTCTCAGGTGTTGCTGACGGTGTTACCGTCCCAAAGAAACGAGTGGAAGAAGCAAGTCCTTATTATTAATTATTACAACAAACCATGCAGTATTAGTAGCACTTGTGGAATGCCTGTCACGAGATTGGTTTGTATATTGTGCCGAGGCGCGTTATTAACAAGCGTATGATACTTCCTGCCCTCCGGAAATACTTCATCGAGAAATAGCGACGCGCGGTAATTATTCGCAGGTGCACACGTGCACGCGAGGTACGAGGAAAATCCTGTGTGCAAGAGAGTAAGTACAAAATTATCTAGCTTTGATTTCAAGTGCGCCAGTGCGTCGCGCGTATCGTGATCGCGTGATCCGCCTCCTCCCGCGTCTCGAGGAGCTTCTCGATTCGAAGAGTAACGAGATTCGTAGAAAGTAACGCGTAGCGAAGCCGCTGCGAAAAAATTATCTGTCACATTCATTCATCGGCGATGAGGTAACTAGGAGGTGCATTTCAGATGGCAAGTGTGTGTGCGTGCGTGCGTGTGCGTGCGTGCGTGCGTGCGTGTGTGTGTGTGTGTGTGTGTGTGTGTAGATAACAAATAAAGTGTAACTTCCTTAAAACTTAATAAGACTTAAAGGAGTCCTCTCGAGATCTTAGGGTAGTGTGTTATACGCGATATAATTCACCAGGAACAGAACGCTTGAATAATACTCTTTTGGAGATATCTACAGGATATTGAGATCTTTTTTTTTTTTAATTTTCTCCCTGAAACGCAAAATCACAACTTGCTGTTATCATGGGGTTTTTGTTTCTACGGTATAATAGTCTTTCGCTCAAACTTCATTATGACACACGACTGTAATCATATTTTCTTTATCTAACAAACAACTGTTGTATCACTAAACTGTATCTCGACAATTTATAATTTATGTGATCTTTCGATATCTCATATAAATTAAACAAGACAATTATGTATTTTAATATCAATTGCGGTAAGAAGTGTGAATACATATCCTTCCAGTGAATAAAATAAAATTTCGAAAAAGATTTGTTTGTATCATATATCTCTTAAAATATTATACAAACAATCCGTATCCTGCATCTTCAGGTCGAAAAATATTATTTAGCTGTACTATTTCTGGTGGAACTATTTCTGGTATATTCTTAAACAATATGTAAAAATTATTCGAGGATATGTGTGTATATACAGTATTTCCATACACATTGGCGACTGACGGTCTCTCTCTCTCTCTCTCTCTCTCTCTCTCTCTCTCTCTCATTCCCACATTTATTTGCTGGACTAAAAAATTCTTAATTAAATAAAGCATCATCAAATATGGAATATAATATCCAACACGTTGCTTTGTTTACAAGAGACTGCACGTTCCATGTTTCCACAATTTAACCCTTTTCACTCAAATTAGTGTTAGGAATGATAAAAAAATTAGCAAAGATAATTAATTAATATTTTATCATAAATATTTTAGAATAAATATAATTTTAATAAATATCAATATGTGATGACTGTTTTTTAATTAATTAAACTATAAGAAGTACACTAGACGTTAAAATAATTGTGCAGTGACTGAATTTTGGATCGCTGTATCAATGAGTGAAAAGGGTTAGATGTTGAAAAAATCATTAGCTGTGTATTTTACTTCATAACTATTATAAATACAGGGAATATGCGTGTTTCCAAGTATCACTACTTATTATATGTGTACAGATCGTCGATGCAGAAAAACGTCCATTTTCAAAGATCTTTCATCATTGATTACTTTACTAATATCATAACATACAAAATACATGTAGACGTGATGCAAAATTTGACGCAAAAATGACTTTGATCGTATGTTTATAAATGCGGCGAAGAAAGAACATATGGTATATATCTTTAATTTGTGAATAATATAGCTCGAATACTACAATATGTTGTATTACATGCGTAATGGATTTTTCACAAAGACTCTTTCAAAACAGACATTTCTCGCGACTTATAAAATACATGTAAAAAAAAAATTAAATGTAACGTAAAGCTACATTTTACGAATTACAGATCGTTAAACCTATAAGATTCCATTCGAGCGGTCCTGTCCAGTGTGTACAGTGAGTTTGTGATAAAACCTGCAATTACATTTACATACTATGGCAATGTCACATACATAATACAGGGGTGATTTTAATGAAATCCGTCGCGTTTCCTCTTTTCTAGATGAAGTATCCCACGACCTACGTTTGCGTCATACATTCAGATATATATATACAATTTATATTACGAAACATAATCGACAGATTGAACGATTGCCTCACACCCATCAAGCAATTAAAACGTCTCGATTACGGATTTGACACGGGACTAAAATATACGCGACAATATAGCTCTAATACTCGTTAAAAAAAAAAGTTGTACTTCCTCGCGTTTTGTGTCATGCTAACGAAATAAAGACACGTCGATTAAAACCCAAGCGCAAGAGACATCTGAATAACAGGTAATGCCACAGAGTGCTTTACAACACATGCCCCTATTATGTATTATTGCTCTTTGCACTTCTCGAAAATGTTTCTCGAAACGTCGCTGGTTTTTTTTCCTACTCTAAAAACTCGTGTAAAAGTCGCTTGATATCGAAACCCAACCAAGCCAACGGCGCAGCATAGTAAAATATGACTGTCTTCGAGTACTTGGAGTCGAGTTCTAAATCATCTGAATTCGAATTAAAACAAACGGATCGCGCGCGACGCGCGCGCGATCATTCCCGATTCCTTCCTTTTATTAATAAGTTATCGTTTCACGGATTTATGTCAAGACTTCGTAAAATAGTGATGCCTATACTATAGCGACTGTATATTGTCATTAAAAATATTATATTTTCACGTGGATATATTTGGCAAGCATGCACGTCGATCTGGAAGATCTTTTCCATTTCTTTTCCGAGGGACGACCAAAAATGAAAAATCGACTGTATGAGAGCTAAATGACAACTACGAGAGGACGGCTCGCAGTCTTTTCCAACGTGCCTCCCACTGAGACTTATTCCTGACGGGATTCCAATCGAACGCAAACCCAGGACTGGCTGTACTTTTGTTTGTATAAGCGACGTTGCTGTGGCTAAAGTCTGAATTGAGATTGGCCAGGTCGACGGTACTTAAAATTCGTACAGCGGACGAGAGTCGGAGCTTACTGGTCGGGGAGCTAAATACCAGTTTGCGGCCTTGCTTACTGTTGCTGCCGATGTCTCCAATACTGCTACAACTATTACGATTGTTATGTAATTGTTTTACTTTGCGGGAATACTCGGCGAGAAACGATTTCGCCGTAGATCATTGCCGATACGCCTGCGGCGTAATGCCGTTCCCAGGAGTCACGTAGTCACCGATCATCAGGCTGGGATTCACTGGATAATGAGAAGTGTTGCCGAGGACCAGCGATTGCTGGAAAGTAACACCAAGCTGTAGCGCGAAAGTCACGCAAGCAGACGTATTGTTTTAGTTTCCGTCTCTCACGTAAATTATTTATTAAATGTATAGCAAACTGTATATTTATTTATTTATATATGTACACACGCATATCGTAATAAATCTTCAGCAGAACAATTATTTCATGCTTGTGTGATTTCTAGAGCATTATTGCAATTAGAATACATTCTTTATTGACAGCTTATTGTAAGTATGCGAATTTCCGAATTGTACTCACAGTGGCGGGCGACGTAAACATATTTGGAGTTATTCCACCGCCTATCAATTGTGCCGCTTGTGTGCTCGTGGCCGTACCTCCGACGCGACCTCGTCCTGTACTCGAAATGGAGCCCGGATGAATGTTTGGTTGTCCTCCTGTTACATAAAAATTCGTACATTTTTGTTGTATGTACGAATAAAACGTGTAAAATACAGTCTAATAATATAAAATAATGTACACAAATATTTTATACTACACTATACCAATATTAGACTACTTTGCATTTTCACTAAGTGAAAAAAAGATTATTATATTTAAAAGTGAAAATGATTCAAAGAATATAGTTGTCTGTGTTTGAAACAGTATAATCGTTATGATAAAAAAATTTTGACGTTATGCAAAACTACTAAAGAAATGTTACAATTTATAATTAAATTATTTAATAAAAAGATATTTATGTAAACCACATTATTTATCTACTAAGCGATTAATAATAAAAAAAAATTCTTCTAATATCGGTTTATCGTCAATTCGTTAACAGTAAATAATAAAATGATTATAGCTTATATCTAAATGTTGGGAGGAAAAGAATACATTTTATTTTACTTTCTTAAATGGGATATTAGAGAGAAGTATAGTTAAATATTTATAAATCCATACTACTAAAAACAAGTTTATTTACATTTAGATTCTACAAAATATGTATAAATTAGAACAATCACAAGGAACTTTTTCTTCTTTGTACAAATATCTTCCATAATGTAGAATAACAAAATAAATGTATCCATTCCGTAAGTATCAATACAATTAAAAAAGCCGACAGTGATTTGATAATTTGACATTTACATAATAAATATTTAATCTGCAATTATAACAATATCAGCATCCAATAATCACAAAAGTAATTTATATTCAATATCAATCTTTCATCTAAATGTTTTATCAACTGCAATTATTATTATTATTATCCATAGGAATTTCTACTTCACAATTTCAATGTGTATACAAAAAAAAATCATTTCTACGTTAATACCATCTAATAACTTCAAATCATTCTTGTATAGACGCTACATACATAAATGAGAGGTCTTGAAAATATTATATTCATATTTCATATTAATATTTTCTTTAATTGTACGTTTACATGGAAGGAATTGTTAAAATAGAAGATCTCAATTGGAGTAAAACAGTAAAACTTTGGCAGAAAAAACGTGAATTATAATTTTCTTGTATAATACATTATGTAAAACGCAGTGTGGTAAATAATATACTGCAAAAAACCAGTAGACAAAGGAAACAGATTTTATTTTGAGCAATATTGGAATTTAGGATGTCTCAGATTATAAAGACGGTCATTTATTAGACATCACTGAAAAGAAACGTTTTTATATTTAGATATTTTTATAAATATTGCATATAGCGAATACATAGAATGTGGGCCGCGATCATTCAATGACCATGTGGGTACCCTTCATACATTTTGCGACACAGGATTTCGATAAATACGTTTTGAAAAATCAGATGTCGAGGAATTAAAAACCACTACATGGCGCGCGACGGGCATGTGGCAAGAAAACGCTGATTACAAATGTTATATATTCCACACGGCACAATTAATACATGTAATGATACACTGAAGAGTCAAACCAAACCTTACCTATTGCCAGCAAATTATTTGGATTTACTGTTGCGCTTGTATCCATCGAGACCTCCCCGAGACCGTTAACCGACATTCCATTGACCATGTTCACCGCCTGTCGCGCGCCCTGCGTATCCAGGGTCGTCCAGTAGGACTCGCTGGGCGAGGTGTTATTTAAACCCGGTGGCGGCTGCGCCGCGGCGCCTGTGTATCGGAAGTAAGGATTTTTCAAGTCTAGGGTGTTGTTACTGCTTTCCAGATTCGTTCCTTCGAGCTTCAGTTCTATTGTTACGTCGTAGGATTGTCTGAAACGAATATATACACACCATGTAGTATACACGCAAGATAAACGGCAAAATGTAGAGATACAGAAATGTAACCGCGTGCCAAGTATCGGAATTGGAGACGGTGCCAAAAGTTGCGAGCCACAGATACGTGTAGTTCCTCACCTTTTATTTGCTATAAGAATGACTTTCCCGGAGAGTAGCTGCCCGCTTTTACAAAACAATGGATTCTCTAAGAGACAGCGCACTTGATACCAGTGCGTGAGAGGTTCTGTAGGAGCAGTACTTAACCAAACTTGTTGCGTGGATCCGATAAACGCTACGTCGAACCAAAAAGCTAAACCGTGGCACGTACCACTCTCCAGTATGTGAAAATCGACATTAATCTCTAGAGGGGGGACACAATTTATAGAACGTTAGCAGTTTCACATTATTATATCTCGTATACATTCTAATAATAATTTTCTTTTCGCTCCATACCTATTTTATGTAAATCAGTCTCATCAGCTGTTTGGAAGTCTACTATGTGCCTCACAGATTTCGCCATACATATTCTAATATCAAAAGTATCGACAATCGGTTGTCTAAAATATTCCTTAATGGCGTTATTTCTCATGGCAGAGAGATCGACCCCGTGGAAACATGTCTGATACCAAAAGTTGGCCTTATTGAATTGTTCCATGTAAAGATTTTCGTCGGAGAAGGGTGCGATATGCAGATCACCTCTGGAGGGAAACATTCTTCCGCCTGCGTATAAAAAGAATTTAATTAGAGAAAAAGAAAAAGGAGTGCAGCGAAAGGAAATGCATAAGTGGTGAATTATTTTCCCGGGAACATATTTACCTGGACTTAACCACTTTTTCGCATGGAGATAAGTTTCGAGCATTCGTTCATTATACAACATGTATCCCATAGGCTCACTCACTATACAGTCCACTTGCTCGGGTAAATCGATCTCTTCTATCTTTCCGGCTATGACTATTATTTTATCAGATAAATTATTAGCTGCAACTAGAAGCTCGGCGTGATTTGCCATATTGCTCGCCTCCACGGCGTACACCTTTTTCGCGCCGGCTTGTATGGCGAAGAACGATAATATACCAGAACCAGCTCCTACGTCTAGCACAACTTTATCCTTGAAATCAGACAGATTCCCGAGAATCGCTCGCTGGTACGTACTGGTCCTAATATAATCCTGCATCATGTTCTGCTGCTGCGAGAGATAACCGTAAAATTGGAAATACTGCATCGCCGAGGATTCTTCTGTTCTTTCGTTAAACGCCGACACTCCTTTCCCCATCTTGAGTTTTACTATGTGCGAGTGAAAATTGCGGAAATCTGTGAATGAAATACACGTGCGTTAAAGCCCTTGTGGCTATATATTTCTCTGGATTAATAGAAGAAAAATATGTGCTTATGATCTCTATCGCATAATTGCGTGAGGAATTATGCGATAGAAATCATAAGCACTAAATTCTCAGTGGGAGAATAAAAATTGGGCTGCGAGCGAAGTCACTGGCTCACCTGTTTCATTAGCAAATGTAATCAGTAAGCTATCTGTATCGAGTGTAAAAACATAACTTCGAGACGATACACGAGAGCATTCGGTACTGGGAGTCACTGGGAATTCCAATAGAGTCGTTTTTTCCCTGCTGCCGACATCTAAAATGAACGTTGAAAATGTCAATTTTCTTCCTCGTACATTATTATACGTGTCAAAGAGCGAGAGCACGCAGCAAAAAATGTAATCGCATATACGTATATATCGTTCATAAAAATAGTCACAAAGATTATAGAGATAATATATGCTTCTCTGATTAAAGCAACACTTTTAGTGATCAATAAATTCCTACAATTCAACCTACATCCTCTTCCCCTCTCAATCTTACGATATTAATACGGTAACCTTTCCCCGGCGTAAAGTACAACAGTTACGTCAGTATATCGCATAAACAATAGAATTCGACCGGAGCTGTCATTGCAGCGAAATCGTAATCGGCGTCTCGGCACAAGTGGCGAGAGAAGCGAGTATACAATTCGCTCCAACGAGCAGCCGAGAGGCGTGCACACGCTAGCGGGAGAGAGAGAAAGAAAAAGAAAGACACAAATTGGGGAAGAAAAGAAGAGGGAAGGACGCGAATCGGTAGAGGACGACGACGACGCGATATCGACCGGCAATCGAACCGGGAGGTCCTCCTTCGGCGCTCCGACTCGAGCCGGAGGAGAGAGGAAGAAAAAAGAAAAGAATCAGCGCGACGCGACGGGAAGTGTGGTTATGTCTGTCCGGGTCGCGGTCGGTTTCGTCGGTCGCGTGATCGATCAGCCGCCGCGTCGTCGTCGGCCGCGCGTCGGCCGTCGCGGACCGCGCGACGGGAATTTCGCGCTGGGGCGCAAAAACGGGCCGGGTAACCCGCCGCGATTACGTTACCTGAGACGAGCTCGACGCTGAGGCCCTGCGGGTCGTAATTGATATTGAGCGCGACCGGTTTGTTGTACTTCGGCGTGGACTGGCCATTGTTTGACAGAGCCGAGACCGTCACCGCGCGAAACGTCTTCGCCATTTTTCGCTACACCGCGTGTGCCAGCGCGCTTCCCGAGACGCTGTTTCTCTTTCCCTTCCCGTCCCCGCTCGCTCGCTCTCGCTCCCTCTCTCTTTTTCCACTCCGCTCGGCTCTCTCCTACTCCTCTTCTGCCGGTAGCAGAGCTCCGTAACGTTACGCCGCCGCCGCCTCTCTTCGTGCGCCTGCCGCCGCCGCACCACTCGCGTGAGAAACAAAAGCCGCCGCCGCCGCCGCCACTGCCGCCGAGTACAAACGACACCTCGGACAGAAGAGAGAGAGAGAGAGAGAGAGAGAGAGACCAACCCCTCGGCCAGGGCCGTCACTGCTGCGCTGCGCTCTGCGCCGCTGCGAGATCGCGCTGATTCTCGCTCGCTCTGGCTCGCGCCCCGTCGCGTCGTCGGTCGTTCCCGGACGCCGCGAGGTGCCGCGAGAATTCGCTTACGGCGCCGTCGCCGCCGACGCCTAGCCACCTCCATCCTGGGCTCACCGGATACGTAGACGTGCAAATTCTATCACTGTTACTGACCGGTCGCCTCCATTTTCGCCGTTATTCAAACGACACGATTCCCGCCAGTTTCACGCTAATCAGGATCGTAGCTAGACTCCGAACGAACCGGATGGCTGTCCAGGGACGCCGAGAGATAGGCGCAAAATTTAAAATTATTAATACATATCTTGCTCAGAGAGGCCGATTGGAATCACTAGGATTTATGATCGTTTTAACGACCATTTTTTTATTTTTTTTTTATTTTTTTATTTAACGACATGCATTCGTCTCGGAATAATTATGCACTACATTATCCCATCCACAGTTCTCGATTATTTGAAGAATTTAAAATTTGAACATGCGACTTGCCTTTTTGCATGTCTGCAATCTGTTTTACGACATACCAATCTATAAAACGTTCGAAATAATATTCGCGGAGTAGGATCTCCATTCCGAATTGAAATTCCGCCCAGAGAAACGAAAGAAAAGTGCGGAAATCCTATACACGTGGACAAGAGAGATATACCCTTATCCGGATTAATTACCATCGCCGTTATCGTAGTTATAGTATCCATCCAGGCGAGATAATCCAGAGTATTATAAGAACAGGCCGCAGACGTATATATACAACTCGCGGAAAAGATGAATTCAATGCAACGATTATCTTCCATGGTGCGGCCGATAACGCCCGATGAATTAAACAAGCCGCTCGCTCCGTTATCGTCGCATCCGCCTCGCCGTACTTACACGCGTGCCCGCGGTGATAAGCGTCGAAAATCGCCGGGATTCGACCGTGCACGCTCGACCGATCAAAGCAACTTTCTAAACAGCGGCCGCGCGCCGTTTGCGCGCCTCACTCGGTCCGGCTTATTAAAGCGGAGCCCTACGAATTTGAATCTCTGGACCGGGATGACGCGCCGAGCCAAGCTCAAGTCCATGGGAAGACCGTCAATCTTATTCGACATACTGAGATCTGCTCGGTATTTATTCTTCCTCGAGTGATGTCAGCCCGATTCTCAACCGACCTATTATTCGCGTATCAGAAGTCAGGATAAAATTCTATTTATAATCTCGTGTATCACGCGATGCAGAAAGCACTTGAAGAGTCAGAATGCGCAACGCGCACACATATAAAAATTTACCCTTTTAAATATACAATAAAATATACATTAAACTAGCATTACAAACGCGTTGCATTTGACATTTTTTACTATAAAATATGTATTAAGAGGCATGCCTTGCGTCAAGTATTTATTTTTTCGTTAAGTATATATCTTTTATGAACGAAACGCTACAGTCTATCTTTTACAGACATAAGTCGATGTTTGAATGATTGAAATATATTGGGAGAGAATATAAATTTTTTTCGATTATAACAATAGAATTAAAAAAAAGAATGAAAAATGCATTTGATGAATAAATATGAATATTTACGTGCGTTTTTCTCTTGTTATAAATACATTTATGTGTATATAAATAAATATATAAAAAAGATATGTATTAAAATATACACGTGTATCAAAATAAACGACATCAACCATAAAACGATAACCGTAAATTCTAGAATTTTGTTCCTGAAACCTGAAACGAATTACAGATCGCCCGAAGCACACTTTACGATGCTCGCCAATGACCAGCGGTGCAATACTAACGTATTGATTTACGTGCGAAATACACTCAATTGTATTTAGGAGTGTCATGTGCCGATCGGAAAACCAATACAAAACAGTGAATCGAGAGGCCTGCATTCACTCGTTACACGATCGTTGAGACCTTATCTCTTTTCCGCGAAACGATTAATGACGAGTATCAATCTTAAACGTTTCATTCTGATTTCAACGTCCATTCCTACATTCTCTCAAAGCCGTAGCCTCCAATTATTTGGCTTATCATTCAATTGATGCATTTTTTTTCCTTTCGATCGAGAAATTTCGTATGAGGTTTCGAGAATGTAATTTTCTAATTGCGATCGCGTGTTGCCTCGGAATTTAAAGCATAAACGGCGAGGGGGGGGGGGGAGAGGGAGGAGGATTACAGTGGAGCTTCGTCTCTAATGGAACACCCCCCGTGTACACGCGGGGGAGTCTAAAGGGCTAAGGTAGCGAGAGCGTCGGTAAGCGGACGAAGGGTCAGGAGCAGCTCTTTCGATCAGCCAGCCGCGGCGGAACGGAACGGGCCGGCCGAAATGTCGGGCGTGCGCGAGCGCGCGCGTTTTCCGTAAGCGTACGCGTGTATGTATATACTCGCGCGATTACATGTAACTGTGGCGGCCCGGCGCTGCGCGGTACGTCGCGGTGCGGCGCAGCGCGGCGCCTTTGCCATCCCAGGGTACATGCGCGAATTTCGCATGCCGCAGCATGGAACGACGGTGGATTTGCCCCCTCCCGCTTTTTCCGGACGCACCAGCAACAGCAGCAGCAGCAGCAGCAGCGGTGGCGGCGGCGGCGGTGGTGGCCGCGACAGCAGTAGCAGTAGCAGCAGCAGCAGCAGCGGCAGCGTGTTCCCCTAGCAGCGCGCTTTCCTCCGCAGTGTGGTGGCAGTCGCGGTCGCCGATCGACGGCTGTCTCGACGGCGAAAGGCGGACGGCGAACGGACAACCCCCGTTACTATGGTGAGTACCGCAATGCCGTCGTCGACGACAGGCATAGAGGGAAATCCGTACTACTTCTGTCCCGCGAAAATCGAAAGTTCCTGTCCGGCAGAATTTATTCGCTGACAGCGAGGCCAGTTCGCATCAGAGATCCCGTCAGCAACCCCCGTGAGAGCGTGTCGTCCCACGATGCTCCATTTTTTTTTCACCCTCGCCGGAAGAAACGCGATTTCGGCGATTTCGCTTGTACGCGCGCACGGGGGTGGGCTACCGTGCCATCTGGCATGCGAGCGGATCGACGCGGAACGCGGATCAAGCCCGAGAAACATCTGCTCGCGATTAACGCGCGCGCGGGGGGAGAATGTGCGGATTCGCGCGTTGCGGTTTCGCGAGGACAAAGCACGGAGCTCTTCGCCGTCTCGCCGAATGCGGACGCTGCGCTCGATGTTGTTGTCCCATTTAATCCCGCGTACATTCAACTCTGAGTTTCAATTATTTAGGACTTTTATGTTTGATATAATTCGTCGCGGATCATGAAGACCACGATTCGTATTCGGCGATATTTCGACGTTTAATTTAGATAGAGAAACTCGCGTTATCTCGCGCGCGAGAGAGATCCTCGTACAGGGGGATCCGACGTCGTTAGGGGTAGATTGAAGCGCGCTAACGTCTTGCGTTCCAGGGTTGATTACTCTGACAGATTGCCGGGATTAATCTGGATTAATGATCCGATGGCTTAACCTCAACCACGACTTCCAAGAGCGAACTGTCCCAGCTAAGTAGTTATCTTCCCCCCGCGCGGAGAGGGGGAGGGGAGCGAGATAGGGCACCAGAACTAATGGGGGGCGGACAGGCCGGTTGGTGTTTGACGATCCGCGGTACGGTACCAAGGGGCGTCCGGTAGGTACCCTTAATATATCCCATCCAAATCCGTTTGCGGTGGTGAATGGTCTTCGACCGCGCGACCGTGGCGCTACCTTTACGCGGTGCCGATTACTGAGGGTATAGGGGTTGCCACCGGGGGAGGAAGCGGGGGAGAGGGGGGGGAGAGAGTGGATGATACCGGAAGGTCAATAAAGGAAGTGGAAATGTATTTAGCCGGCTTAACTTATCGGGAAGTCCTGGAGAGCGCTCCGGTATAAGGACAGGGTGTCCCGAGGAAGGAACGACCGGATAAATCGCCCGTCGAACGTGGCGATTTGGTTCACTTGTACCGAAGATTTATGGGGGTGACAGATAAGGGACAGCCGGGAGAGATCTCGGCTCTCCTCGCTCCTTTTCCGTATAGGCGCGCAATTAGCGAAAAGTAGAGATTGATCGTTTCTCGTTACACTCGACAAGACATCAGAGTAGAGTAGGTCGCGGAGGATCTGCAGGAGGGATTCCCTAAGGAAATTACAGGCGTTACATAAGAAAGAACTCACGTATTCCGATGGGTATTGAAGGGTAATTGGATTGGATCGAACGAACTGAATTACAAAAATACGCGCGCGATATACCACACCTAATCTATATATCGTGTGCGTGGAATAAACAACGCGTGTTCTATCACTATCAATCTGCGAACCTTCGCGCGTCGCAATGAAAAGAAAAAACCTCGATAAGTATCGTTCGACATCGATTCGTATATCGTTCCACGCGATAGTATATCGGATACGTACACTTTTTTTTTCATAGAGAGGATAGCAACGCGAGGAAAAGAATTGCACTAGTGACATTCTACGTCGAACGTTCTTGTCGGATAGATGCAATCGACCGCGACCTTGATCGATCGAGCGCAAGTTGACTTATCCCGAGTACACGTTTGCGGGCACTATGCCAACTGTTCCTTATTGATAATCCCACGTAATCTCCACATCGCGTCCCTCCCGTGAGATCGGTCACGGAAAGCCCCTGTCAAGAGATGGCAGACAAGATATCCGATTTACAACATTATACATCATACGTTGGTATTATAAGTCACGATCAATATGACGACGGAGGTGGAACGGACGGAAATGGATGGAGAATGGCTGTGAAAGAAAGGGAGAGGGAGAATGAGAAAGAGAAGGAGGGTGGAAAGGGAGACACATGGGCGCCGTAAGGCGAAATCTAAGGGGGGTGGCAACTCGCAACCTTCTTCGACCGGCCGTCTTCGAGGCGAGGGATGGAGAAAAGTTTCATTAAAAGGTGCTATTTTGTTAGACGGACCACAGATGCCCCAATCGATAACGCGCATAAACGTGTTTAAACGAAGTTCCTCCTATTCAAGCATGCTGAAGTTTCACCCATTCAAGTACCCCGGCGCGCCAACACGCGCTCCTCCCCATTACCCTCGTTTTCTTCCGTGAATTGCCCCGTCCTACACTCCGCATTATTTCACGTTTTACTTAATTATTACGTTACCATCGCTAATTATCTTCACTTTGTACGAGTCGTGATTTAATTGTGAGTTACACGTAATAGTTACACACGATTACATACAATTGTGCGCTCAAACTATAGATTGCTGCAAAAAATTTGCCGTTTTTCCGTCAACCCTTGACAAAATAAAATAAGAAAATCGACGTTCTTTGAAGGAAGCAAATTGAAAAGTCTCTCTATAGATTAAAAAAAAAAAGAATACCGAAGCTCGTGGCGACAATTTTCTTTCGATTTTACTGACCTTTTGTAGGACACTTTTTGCTCCTATCTAATAGATTATTATCTCGTTATTACATGCTTTCCCGTGCTCGCGTTCTCTCTTTTTTTTCATCAAGTACTAATGTATTTTACTTATTTATTGTTACGCTCAATATTACTATCATTATCTTGTCACTCGTGTGAAAAATTCTGCCGACGCCCATGGACGGCTAGGTAAGAGGTATCGAGGGAAGGTAAAGGGGTATCAAAACTGAAGGAGAGAGAAAGAGAGAGAGAGAGAGCGAGAGAGAGAAGAAGAGGCAGACAGACAGAGAGAATCACATGGTGTCTGCCGAGCGGTGGTTATCGACCAGCGGCAGGGTGGCCATGTGCCCTCCAAATCAAAGGGCGCCACAGGGAGGCTAACAGGGTGCACACCGGTCGGCGGGAAAGAACTTCTTATTAGTTGTAGGAGCGCACCCCTCTTCCCCCTGCCTCCCTCTCCTGGTCGCCGATGCCGAAAGTTGCGTTACAAATTACGCGACCTCGCGAGATTGCGCCCCCGAGAATCCCGTCTGGACCGGCAACGTGCCCGGCAAGCGAATGCGGAACACCGGGGTGGTAGCTCGCGCAAATAACCACCACTTCCGCCCCCCTCCCCTCCGCCCACCGAAATTCGCTCGCCCCGGCTTGAATGCCGCGAATCGATCAAACTTCCGCGCTGTATCCTTCCCCCGGCATCGTCCACGGAGTGCGCGTTCGTTGTTTACGTAGCGAGGAATTACTCCGGAGGAAAAAAAACAAAAAGAATCGGTCTCAGGTAGTATTGAAATGTCGTGTCGCGTGCGTTCGCGCGTGATTTTTATTCGGATCAGCAGTATAGACTCTGCAGTATAGACTCCGGTATACGTCATGTGTATAAGTATTATAGCTAGCGTGAAAACGTTGACGATTATATACTTCCTTGCCGCGGCGAAGCCGATCGGCATCAAAACTTTCTTTCGGGCGATTATCCGATACAAGTATATATACTGACAACATTAGATCTAATATTTCCGCACGAATGTGTACTTTGTACGACGAACGAACGAACGAACGTCAACGGCGACGATGACGATTGGGTGCATCCTCGGTTTGTTAGCATCCATCGCTGTGTAAAGCCACCTATATGCAGTGCGCCACGGCGCATATGTTGATACGGTGTCAGGTATTTGCCATCCACTTGAGCCGTAATACCGGAAATTTTAATGAAATTAAACCGCCGCGTCAGGGTTACCCTTTGCCGGCGGTGGCGGGGGCAGGAGGAGAAGGGGGCAATCGCAATTTGACGCAATTCGATCGCGATCAATCGACGGCGAAGTCGTCGTGTGATTTTACGTTCCGGCTAATTACTTATTCGGGTCACACCGGCGGAAGAACTCGATTGCCCGTCGAACTATAACTTCGGCGCCTTATCCGTTCGAGAACGGCTCATCGTCCTTCGTCATCGACCACTGCCTCATTTTCTACCTCGTGTTATTGATCATTATACAACTAGGTATACGTGTGTTGTGTGCGTCTCTCTGTCTCTCTCTCTTCCTTCCTCTCCCTCTCTTTCTCCTTCGTGTACAGCCGGCAATCTCGAGCACGTGCCGCCATGCACGGCGTCGTATCATTTTCGCCGCTAGCGTAAGCTTCCGGAGGCACGACGAATGCAAGTTACAACGTTATCCGATAACGCCGGTAACGCAAAACGCGGGCGGAATATATTTGCCGGGGCACGTCGCGCATTTGCAGTGCTAATTGGAAGATTAATAAATACGAGTTCATGAATTTTTCCGCGCGATTCCGGTTAGATTAATCACGCCGCGGTGCGCCTAATCGCGTTTCAGCCGCGACGAAAATGGTTTCCCTCGGGGCGGGCTATATTCTCGTGTCGCGCCGATATTCCGCGCTTTGCTAACGAGATCGCTGACGATCGTGCTTTTTAACGCGTCGTCGACGGCGAGAAAACGGCGGCACAATCGGATTCGCGCGAACTTCGCACGATTCCGATACCCACCACGAGGGACTTTACGCGTCGCGACATTTCTCGCACGTAATATTTCATGTCTCTCATGCAAAAGGAATGCGCCGGGCAGGCTTTACATTGGGGAGGTAAAGCTTGCTTTATAAAATGAAGATGTAGAAGCTATTCCTGTTTTGCTTTATTTGCCGACGGGTGCAAACGTAAGCGATAGATATACGTTTGACAGGACCGATAAAAAGCTCGACAGTAACACTGCTGGAGGAGGGGAGGGGGGGGGGAGAGAGGATTCTGAAATACTTTTAAACATCTATTTTTATAAATGTACCCCAGAGGGTATTAGTAGCTATATCCTTCGATCCGATTTTTGCAAGAGAAACGCATAGAAATAATTTCCCAGAATAATATTCTGAATAAAATAATTCATGTATCACCCGCCTATTTGACATACTTTCAATATTAAGTGTCATACGTGGGCGGCTTGTATTTTCGTGGACTAATCGGTTACACATATCGGAAAGATCGGGAAACACTGATACACGCGCGAGCATGGGTCGCGGCATGAATTATTCGTAAAGTTCTCCGAAGTTGCCCCGGCTTCGATTTGGATTCTATTGTAAAACGCAACGCGCTCAGAAATATCCTGCATTTGTAGTCGCGAAACGGAATGGACAGGGAATAACGTATGTCATTTATATTTTTACGAGGCTCTGCACGGCAACCGTACGATATAAATATATCGTACGCGCGATGGAAAAATCGTGTATTCTGTGTGCAACGTATTCTCGTGCGTCTCTCTCTCTCTCTCTCTCTTATTCTCAATCTCTAATTAGAAATAACGTTCACTTCCCGAATATCTCGCGAATACACCTCTCGCGAACGAGATGCAAAATCGACGTCGGCGGCGGGTTAAACGTTCGCCGGCCTGAAAACGCGTTACTGCGCTGCTACTGAGAGCCGAATTACCGCAATCTGCTAATAGATTCTGCCACGTGATCTGTTCCGTGGACCGTGCGCAGCACGCACACGTGGGACACGCGTCTCTCTTTCTGTCTCTCTCTCTCTCTCTCTCTCTCTTTCTCCTACGACGATCGCGGTCCTTCGATCGGCATGGTGGGGCATGTTACGAAGTAGGAGGAAACCGGAGGAAACGTTTCAGTGTCGAGTTAGCCGTGATTGCGTCGCCGTTTCGTCGTCCTCGGTTCCCCTCCCCCCGCTCTCCCCCCTCGTCTTCGTCGGCCTCGTTTTCACGTCGTCGTCATTGTCGTCGCGTGACTCTGTGATGGGACGGCATCAACAGTAAGAAACGTTCTCCGAGGGCCGAGATGCGCGTTTCGACCGTCCCGTCCGATTCCGGCGAGATCTCCCCTGGGTCAACTGGGTCAAGTGCCAACGGAGCGGCGCGGCCTGATTTAGTGCCCCGAAGAGACGACCGGGCTCCGGGAACGGAGAGCTCCTCTTTCGGCCGCGTGCAATTAGAACGTGCCGCCGGGCCGGGGCGGATCGGGCCGCGGGTGAAAAATTGATTCGCGCCATCGCGACGATGATGAGCGCGTCAGTTTGTCCGCGGTTGCACGCGGAAGCCTACGGGCGATAAGTGGTTCTGGTTAAGGAAGCTGCGATTAATCGGCACTGCATTTATCGTGCTCCAGTTTCCGCTCCGTGAGTCGAGCAGGTTGGTGCAAACGATTGAATAAATAACGACTGCCGCGCGCGCGACATGTTTTACGCCTGACTGAGAAATCGCGTATTCTCGGTATTCTAACGCGAATTCCTACACCTTGGAAAGAGTAGACAATTGTGCGCGGAGAGAACGAAGGTTTTGCTTGGAGTATCCATAACAAAGTTAGCTAAACAGTTTTTTATTTAACTTTAATTTTAGCTGATCTGAATGATCGTATTGGACTATCAAAATAATTATGTAGGGCGCTCAAGCTGGTTGCAAAAGTGTCAACATTTCTTGCAACATTCACTCAACACGCTTGAATTTCTTACATAATATAATTTCTTTGAAAGTTCAACAAAATAATTTTCATATCTGTATCTAGCTAAATTTTCAGCTACCTCAGCAAACTCGTTCTTTCCGTGTATGCACACATGGATAATGGATAGTTCAAGCGTATCTTAAATAGAGTTTAACTATAGCTTAAATATATTCTAAAAATATCAAGGAATGCTTGATAACGGCGAAATATACAAGAATTACTTAAAGTAATGGCTCTAAGGTTGTGCAAAACCGCGCGGCTTCCACGTCGAATGAGCGTGTTTATCACTTGCGGAAACCAATCTCACGATTCGCGCATGCAAAACATATTTACGCGTGTAAGAGAATATGGCGAGGTCGCGTCGACATGCAGTGACACGGCACAGTTCGTGGAGATTCGTAAGACAGGTGAAACGCACAAATGAAACCGCGAGTAAAATTGCGGACATCGCGATAAGCGCAACATTAAATGCGCGCGCGCGCGCGCGCGAGACTTGGTGTAAGGAAGGATAGATAGATAAAGTCAGTTCTCAGGCTTAATGCAAACGAGGTTGGCAAATGCGAGAACGCGCGCGGACCGGGGGGAGCATTAACTCGATAATGAATGTTCGCGCTCTCCCGTCAAAGCCATTAAAATTTCGGTTAGTTCGGCTCCTCTGACTTTTCTCCGAAGTGCAGAGAGAGAGAAAGAGAGAGAGAGAGAGAAAGAGATATTTAATTAATCGGAGTTGGAGTCGACGGAGTTGGAGTACCGCGGGAAGTGCGCGATATAAAAAGTTCCGTGATCGAGTTGGCGCGGGTCCGGCGATATCGCGGCGTTCTCCACTGGGATATACGTGAACACACACGAGCTCGGCGTTGCGCGCCGCGCCGTTCGCGAGAACGCAAGAGAAAGAGAAAAAAAAGAGGGAAAGAAAAATGCCGCGCGTATAATAATCGTGACTTGGATTCAAACGAGGAATTTTGCCGGATTATAAGGCTCGCTTCTCGTTAATGGCGCGCGTGCAAAGAGCCACATCGGTCGGTCGGTCGCCTAATCTCAATAACGGGGACAAGCCTCCGCACGAGACGTAAAGGCAGGGATTACCGAACTGATTCGAAACGTAAATCTCGCGCCCTATAAACGTCACGACTTTTTACTCGTATATACGGAGTATACACACGCTGTTTTTTTTTTACAGATTATACGTTTACGTTCAATAACACGAACGCGTTTCTCTGATTAAATCAGACGGTTAAATTGCCCTCGCGTTGATCGATGCCGCACCGATTTGCAAACTGATTTAGATTAGAGACCGACAGTCCTATCTAGATTATCCCGGCTAGCACGGTTAGTTAGCGCGAGCTGATCAGCCATGAAATTCTCATGCAAGCGGAGCATGGAAGCGAAGCAAGAAGAATGCCAGTTGCCGGGACCACTCGTTTCCCTCCATTCTAATTAGTAATTTATGCGAATCCCCGTGGCGCGCGCGCGACGGCGTCTATCACACTGCAGCCGTGATTCGGTTTTCCCCGCGATTTCGAAAACTCGTGGTAACAACGAAGCGAAATTTCTGGACGAACAAGACAGCCGTCGCAATTATTAATCGACGAGACCAATGACCAATCGGGGAAACAATTCTGTGCGAGACCGATCGATCGCGAAATTTTTCGCGTGACGATCGTCGCGTATATATACATGTATGTACGTTGGACGCTCGAAGAGAGATCGTTACGAGCTGAATAGAATACATTTGTTCTATTTCCAACGTAGATGAATAGTTAATTATTTTCCTCGTAAATGGAAATGAACCTGATTATTATTTCAGCGAAAGATCGAAGCAATTTACCATGCAGCGACAATTTATTTTTACTTTTTGAAATCAATTTTCGAAACTGCTTTTCTCGCTGAGGAGAAAAAAAAAACGTGAATTTTGCGATATAGTGCAATGCGAAAGTATTTAATTCAGAAGGTATTAAGGACGTAGGATAAATACGAGGCAATGGCATCCTTCTACAACATACGTGGGTGGCATAATCGATAAAGCTTTACACAGTATTGCGTTCTTTAAGACATTGTTGGCACCTTTTGCGATGGAAAGTCTTCTTATAAAAACTTCATATATTTGAACACGGACATTGTAAGCGGAATCGCGGCATCCAAACAATCACAGGCAGGCGATTGAGGTTCAAACAGTATCGACGCGCGGTTATAGAATCGTTATTGCATTAACGATATTGCAAATTCCATTTCTATTGGACTATCGCGATTCGCATCGATCAAACGTTGCGTCTCTCTGAAATAGACGCGTTTAAGAAGCCTTATTGGCGCCTTGACGATTTATCGAGGAAGCCGCCTTCACGCTGAATTAGACGCATTTGCCGCGACGCTTAATTACGTCGATCGATCAGCGGCGGATTCCCGCTTCTTCCGCCAGTTTAAGCCGAAAATTATCAACGCAAATTTAACGTTTCGCTCCTCCCATCGTGCAGCGCTGATGGCCGCGTCGTCGAATATATTTATATATCAATTCGATCTGCCGTTTTGCCGCCGGTCGCGAAACGCATTGGTTTTCTCCGCGTAACCCTGCGGGTTTCCTTTCACGAAGATATTAGGATCGCCGTGATGGTGAAAACGTTTCACGCGTCCGTCGCTCAGAATTTCCCGAATGAAAATAAAAAAATCAGAAATCTTATCAGGAAATTGACATAGATAAGCGCGAGAGCGTCTCGAGTAAAGGGAGCAAAAGGAAGAAGTGACGTTTACGCATCTAAATATATTTTAAAAATATGTCATCAGTAATGTAATAAAGAAGAGAACTTCACGTTGTCCTTTTTCATCAAAATTAATATTTAACGCGCGCCTCGACATTGCGAGAATAGAATCAGAACCCAGATTGGTATCGCATTGATAATTGATTCTAACGATCGATAATGCCGTGTAACGACGTGAATCAAACCTTGATCATGGCGAATTTTCGCCATTCTCCGCATTTCTTGCTCGCGGCGAAAAACGCCGCTTTGTGTCGCGCTACCCGACGCGCAAGATAAAGACACGGTAACATCTTATCAGTGTCGGCATTATTTTTTTTCTTCTTACTGCTGACGTTGCCAGGCGCGAGGCGAAAAAGAGTGCGTTCCTGATGCGCGATGCTGGAGAGACGGCGTTAAATTCTCGGTGTCGCGTAATTTAGAGGCGGCCGTCCTGCACATGACGCGGCTTACGTAAGAACGTTGCGATAGCGACGCGTTGAGAGTAAATTAGAAAAGAGAGCATTTTTCGTGTGCCGCGTCGTGTGTAACGTTCAAAAGAATGTCATTATCAACGCTCAAAGGGCATACTTGCTGTCGCTGTTCTTCCGTTTAATGAAGTGATGAATACAGAAAAAGGTCAAAGAGAAAGAGAGAGAAAAAGATAAAACTTATTCAATGCTGTAGCGTTAACAGAAAGGATCCCTGGAAGAATAGCAAAAGATAAAGATTAAATGAGTTACTCCTAGCTCTTATAACGGCGTTATCGTACGTCGTGAAAACTATTCAACATTTATTGTCTCCGTACGCTAAAGAGGCTATAAAATTCGCGAGGGAGCGATACGTCGGATGGAAGAAGACGGTTATTAATGATAGACGCGATTATAAGTTATAACGCTTGATATCGGGGAGAAGAAATGCGAGCAATTGATGCACTTCTATCTTTTACCTACCCCCTTTCCCTCTTTCTCTTTCTCTTTCTTTCTCTCTCTCTCTCTCTCTCTCTCTCTCTCTCTCTCTCTCTCTCTCTCTCTCTCTCTCTCTCTCTCTCTCTCGCGAAATACGAGTCAGTTGCGAGAGTCGAGTTTTACTGGAAGGACAGGCTGAAATTACGACGCTGCCCATGGGAGTTGATCGTGGTTTCGCGCGGCGCCGCGTCTCCACCGGGAGAGAGCCACAAACATCGCGGTATCTCGCGTCTCGTTCGTTAGATAAATCTCGAACGTTATCGTCGCTCGTTAGCGACGGCGACGGTCTTTCGCATTAAACGCGTCGCTCGCTTTATCGCCCAAAGTCCGCGGGATCCTGACGGATGTTCTTCCGGCGTCCGCGCTATCGGCTTAGTCGCTACGCCTGCGCCCTCCTTCTCCTCCTCCTCCTCCTCCTTCCTCCTTCCTCTTCTTCTTCCTCCCTCGCTGCCTCGCGAATGACGCGAATGCGAATCCGGCGGGGGCCTTCGGGAAATGCCACATTTTGACCCACGAAAATAATTAAATCTCCGGAGGACCGTCCCTTCAATCGCGCGAGAATCGGTCCGGCCGTTTACGAGAGCCGGATCACGACGCGTCGGGGAATTATATTAATTACTCAAATCCACGTGGCCGCGGAGGCCGCAATTAGTCGTGATTATCGACACGCAGACGGTGTGATCGAACGGGATTCGTTCACACGCACACGCCGAGAATTTTCGTCGCAAACACGCAAAGAAGTGTAATAAATTATACGGCGGCCGTAAATCATGCCGCTCTAGATGTAAAAACCTCTAGCGAGCGACGAGATACCACGGGCATTTACGACAGCTAATTACTTTTGTGACAGGGCAAGAAGCAGCTCGCGATTCAGGAGAGGCAGAGGAAACGACGGAACAGCCGACACATGTAGCATTCGGGTGAGTGAGCATGTCTTTGTTTCAACCTTCTGCACCCGCCGGCGGCGGCGGGGTTCTATTACGGCAGCTTTCTCTCTCTCTCTCTCTCTCTCGACGTTTTCCGCCTGAGATCACGCGGAAACGGGATCATCTGCGCGTCGAGCTTTTAATACGGCGAACGGGCGGGAAATGCGTTTCAATGTAACGTCGGGTCTTAAATTCACGGCAGCTCGGCCACGGTTAATCTTCGGTACTTCGTTTCGTCCGTTGTTAAATTTACATTTTACACGCGTATAAAATTCGCATGATATACATTTATATACGCTAATGCGCTCGGCGAATGGGGATGCCTCCCCCTGCAGAATGGGATTGAGCCGTGAATCAGATTAAAATTGGAAACTCACAGTCCGGAGGAGATACGAGAATAGGACGTGAGAGTAACTATACCTTCCCGCCAAGCAGGAAAGTTTGCTGGAATAAGTTGAGGTGCGGTACATTTTTAATCTATAGCCCCGATTCATCTTCTACTCCCATTCTCCGGGCGAGATTAAAAATATTATAGCTTGATGCGCGTTTTCAAAAATTTAATCGAATCATCCGTTTCCTTTTTTTTACTGTCTCTTTTTTTATTCGCGTCTCTCTCTCTCTCTCTTTCTCTCTGTTATAGTCGTAATTGGTAATACATTACTCTTATCCTCATCCTATTATTTTCGAACGTTCCCCTTTTCTCTGCTCAGGCATCAGTATAATGAAGCCGTCCATGAAAATGGGAGTGATCGCCTTGATTGGGATCTGCGTAGTCTTTTATCAATATCACCTGTCCACCGGCGTTACTTTCGATCAAGTAACGGCCTTCAATGCCGATACCTCCGCGGACGACGCCGGGGATTTGCCGATCGGTGAGGAGGGTGACAGCAAAACCCCAAGGCTCGCCGAGGAAATGGTAAGAAAAAAAAATAACCATTAATATTTACCCGTGCAATACCGAGATCAGTGTTTCCTTTAGAAATTAAATCCCTCTGTCTTATATCTGACAAATTTATCGTCATATATCAATTGTTTGTTACGCGACACTTTGTCAGACGAGCTGCGTCGTTTCTCTTCGGCAGATTCGATACGCCGTGTACCGAGTACAAATCACGAACGGCCTGAGCCCGGAAATAAGCTCGATGCTCGTGCAGGAGCTTATCAATCAGTTAAGCAAAAACGTCTCGGCGGCCTCCAGAAGTAATTTCAAGTCCCCGCGGCAATCGCAACCCCTGACTACGGCGTCGCACAAGGCGGTAACGCCGTCACGTCCATCACCCTCCACCGAGGAGTCGTTCGAAGAACCCCTGTACATCATCACGCCCACATATCGAAGACCCGAACAGATACCCGAACTCACGAGGATGGCCCATACCTTGATGTTAGTGAGGAATATACATTGGCTCGTGATCGAGGACGCTACCGTCGCTACCAAGCAAGTTACCACGTTGTTGGAGAGGACCGGCTTGAAGTTCGATCATTTAATCGGTAAATAAAAATACACGGAGAGAATTTTATTAAAAAATTTACCCTGAAAATCGTGTTAATCGTATAAGACAACATAGTATTTCGACGAATTTTATATGATTTTCACTATTTTTTTAAATATATACTATACAACAAATTTATTGTAGTGCATAGTAAAATTTGTCGAAATACTATATGTTGTCCCACGATTAACAAAATTTTCAGAGTAAATTTTAAAAGGAAATTCTCTCCGTGTATATATATAAATCTGCCGCGAGATTGCAAACATCTATCTATATCTGTATAATAACAGTACGGCGAAATGTGAATGGCTTATTACGTTACGTTTTGCGCAGCTCCGATGCCGGAGAAATACAAACTCAAGAAGGGCGCGAAGCCGCGAGGGGTGTCGAATAGAAATCGCGGTTTGCAGTGGATCAGGGCAAATGCCACGAAAGGCGTGTTCTATTTCGCCGACGACGACAATACTTATGATATTGAACTTTTCGACGAGGTACGACCCAGTTACTATAAAGCACGTTTTAATTTCGCTATAAAGATCCGACATCTCTTTCGGGAGGATTTATATTGATGTACTCTTTCACAGATTCGCAAGACGAAGACGGTGTCAATGTTCCCGGTGGGGCTGTGCACCAAGTTCGGGCTGAGCTCGCCGATCCTGAAGAACGGCAAGTTCGCCGGGTTCTACGACGGCTGGATAGCCGGCCGGAAGTTCCCCGTGGACATGGCCGGATTCGCCGTGAACGTCGGGTTCCTGCATCAGCGGCCGAACGCGACGATGCCGTTCCGCGCGGGATACGAGGAGGACGGCTTCCTGAAGAGCCTGGCGCCGTTCGAGCCGCGGGACGCCCAGCTGCTGGCGGACAACTGCACCAAGGTGCTCGCCTGGCACACGCAGACGAAGAAGAACGAGCCGAGCGCGCCGCTGGACATGAAGCTTTACGGCGCGACGAACCTGGTGAAGCTCAAGCAGCAGATCGTATGATGCCGGCCGGGACAACGAAGACGCGCGGTAGACTCGAACCTGAATCTTGTGTGTGTAATCTCGCCCCTCCTTCGCACTAGTTCATCGGTGTCACTCCAGGGGAAAATTCCTAGGTGCGGAAAACTGTGCGATTCAGTGCCTAAAAGTATATCTGCCCTCTCTCTCACGGCGCGAGAGCGGGAAAACCGTTATTACCTTTTAAGCATATAGCCGGATAAAAACGAATCGTTTTTTTATCAGCTTTTACACACATCCGCAACAAGTAGCTCGCCCCGCGAAGACGGTCTCCACCCTTGCTTCGAAAAAAGGAATATCGCGGTTGGGGGGGAAAAAAAAGAATAAGGTAGGATTCCCGGGGCACGGCTACAACCGCAACGACTCGAATATAGTGCAATGATAGAGAAATTTGCGCGTGGAGTTCGAAACTGTCTGTTACTTTTTTTCCGTTTTTCGTACGTTCCGCATGAAGCGAAATTGCGAAAGATAAAATCTCTTATTAATATCATTAATTGGTATACACAACAATTTATTAAAATCATGCGGTTTCGAAGCGTCTCTCTAACGCGTGTAAATGGCGAAGTCGCGCACCGTGCAGATCAACGACCAAAGAAAGCAAACGAGTCACTCGCTGTAACGTTAAACTCTTACACTTACTTTATTCTACCTGAGGGAATACGTCCCGAATTCTATATATAACTAGATTCTCTATTGCATTCTATTCCATAGCGAAGTCCATTCCTAAACTTGCTCTACTACGGCGCGAGGTCAGAGAGCGATTCAAAGAGTGAAAATATCTCTAAGAATAAGGGGCGATTTTACGCTCCTTAAGTTCACGCTGATCGATCTCCCCGACGGGTGAATCTGACGTTGCTCGTTAAATCTAATTACCAAGTATAATGTTTGACGATCGCCGTTTAATCCTGTCCCGCCTCTTCACGCGATTAGCAAGCATAGGCGATTGCGAAGATAAAGAGTTAGAGCCAAGCCCTTTAATAAGAATTTCTCCATAGCTCCGAAAGAGATTTCGAGAGGGAAGATAAATGTTTTAAAAGTTTCAAGGCTTAGTCTTAAGCTTTGTCGAAAATTGCGTTAGAGAAAATTATTATTTACGCGAGAATTTATCCGGTAAAAATATTAGACACATTTTCTTCGATGGATATTTCCGAATCCGCGAAAAAAATATCAAATTGACAAATGCACGTGATATCTCTGACTTATACTTATTTGGCCTTCAGCATAAATCAGCATAAATCAGCATTTAACAAATGCCGAATATGCAGCGCGTAATTATCGCAACTTAGTCCGAATAAATTTTTCAGATTTTTAAGGGAATCTGAAAAATTGATTTTACGACTGAATATCAATCCACGGAAAGAACGATTTTGCAGAAAGACATTAAAAATTTTGCTACAAATCTGAAAATAATTTTGCTGGACCATTAAAATAATTTTGTTGAAAATTCAAACTGGTTTCTAGAATATCAAAACGTCTTTATAGAAATGCTCATCATTTTTTGAGTTTCCAAAATATTATTTTCAAATCTATATTCAGCAAAATTTTTCTACCTTCTAAAATCGTTCTTTCCGTGGTGGAATGTCTATATCGTCCAAATAGTATTTCGCCGAAACAAGCATCCTCTCCCTATTTGACTGAATAGAGATACTTTTGATTCCCAAGTCGCGCTCGTCGCTGCTCTTTTTCATTTTCTTTAATAATATAATCCATTTCATCGTTTCATCGTAAATGCCGATCACGAGATCATAAGCAAAATAGCGAATTATAATCAAATATAGAGCGTTTCCGTTACCAATGTACTTGCGTGCGTGTGCGTAGAAAATATGTACTTCCTAGAAGGGCGTAATATTTAAAAGCTACGTTTGATTCCTCCTACACCAGTACAGTTCACGCGAGTTTTTAAGTAGTATTATATTATATAAAAAGAGCTAGGAAATAAAAAATGGTGTGCACTGAGTGCGAAATCCAAAGAATCTGTTTTCAATTGCTTGCCGACGACGTCGTCAAAATAGTGTATCGAAGTATTATATCACGATTGTACAGCGGAACCTTGATAATTCCGAACGTTTCCATTACTGTAACATATCGCTATAAAAGTTCGACCAATGCATTGGATCAAATATACAACTTTATCTAATTTCCTATAATCTTACTTACACAAATATTTCGTGATTATATTACTGTGATTTATTTAAATCGGAAAATAACGTAGTTATTTTCAATTTTAGGCGACATATATTTCGAAAAATCATTATACATTAGTTATATAAAGTATCAATTAATCGTGGATCAGACTTGATTATCAGTAAGCTTAGTTAGTTCGGACATTAGAAGTTCTGCTGTACGAACGCTCGGAAGACTGCGGAAAATGAACAAGAGTCTCTTGTCAAATATTTCGTATTCTTCCAATGTTATACATATATTTAGGAGCACTCTCGATTGTATACGTCTTTAAAATTGATATCGGAAGGTATTTCGTGTCATTAGTTAGAGCAGGGTGATTTAAAATATTTTCCTAAGGATTCCCAATGAGTTCTTGCGACACATTGATTTCCGAAGGTGCTCTACTTCATCTACTTTTATCTAGCGTGTGATCGCTTTATTAGCGATAGACGTAATTCCAGCGTGTGGATGATAATAATTTTAACGCTATTATGTCCTATAAAATATACATATACATGCATACATATAAATGTATATATATTTGTGTGTATATGTATATGTATATTACCGTTATGACACCAAAACTCAAGAAATTATAGCGTATATACGTAAAGTATCTATAGAATAATTGCACTATTTAGAAATTGATCAAATGTCGAAGAAGCGAGAGATGGCATTTAGATTTTTCCCATTTCACATATCCTGCCGGAATGTGCGGAGATTTGTGTACAGAAGATACGTTATTTGCGTTTCAGATTTATTTATATGGATACGGTCCGCAATAAACTTACGACAAGCAATATGTGCGATTCTCGCGCAGTTAGATTGTAGAAAGAGAGAGAGAGAGAAAGAGAGAAAGGAAGCGAAAGAGCGAGCGAGAGAAAGAGAGAGAAAGAGGAAGAGAAATAGATAGGTGAACGATTTTATCCTTGTTTTATTAAAAAGCATGTAGGAAGTAAGGCGTCTTAGTTTTAATTTTGAGAAATCCTAGAGAGTACTTAGCGCGTTGATTCGAGACCGTTTGTGATATACGATATTTGTTTTATAGTATCGCTTCTACGCGACCCAGGAGGTGGACGAAAAGACGCTCCTCCGTCGCGAGTAATGCTCAAATTTCCGGCAATCCAGAGGCTGAGTGTATATGCGCAAGCCGGAAGTTGTACATACAAATCTTTGTTTCTAAACGAGATAATTAATATCTTTTGTTACGTGTATATTCATATCACACCCAGGTCCGAAAAGAAGTCCGGAGAGAATGGGAGCAGTTTTTCATGGAATGTGAGAATTACAGTGCACACATATTTCCTTCGCTATTTTCTACTCGTTATACGAATTATTTAATTTGTACTTTTTTTAATAGTAGTATATTTGCGAATTCGAAGTACAAACTCAAAATTGTACGAACATAATACTTTTTCTATTTTTATTTTTAACGACATTTTTGTGTCAGGCCTGATTTTCTCAAGACACAGTTCTTTATTGTATAAATAAAAAAAGAAGTTTAGAATAAGTGAAGAAGATTCGCAGATTGCATCTCGGTACCTTTTACTATACCGTTACGCGCAACATTTATATTCGATAAGAAAAATTATAACATGGCAAAATAACGATACGAAGGGGCGTAATAAAAAAAAATAGGAATAAAAAGTTCTCGGTCGTCGATCGAATACGTTTAATATATTGTGCGCTGACGATAATATACGTGCCGTGAAATTACAAATTGACAAGCTGTTGCTGTACAAAATCATCTAGCAGTTTTGCCACAAGTTTCAGTTATGAACAATAAACTATTGTTCCAAGTAACATTATTTATCTTTTTCTTCCAATTACCCTCCCTTTTTAAATCCGGTCTTCCTAAATCGACATTATCGCGCGTAGGAAAAGAAACGCGGAGGAAGGCATCGAACACTTTACATGGAAGTCAAATATATTTTTTATTTCGTATATTCTTACGTGGTAAGTGTCACCACGAAATTCGCTGGGCATACGGCTGATCCTCCCAGTAGAACACTTTGCTGGCGAAAATAAAAAATTGCAGGCAATTGATCGCGAGGATCGTGAGCAATTCGCAACAGATCTGCCACCTCCCCGGCCTTTTCATATTCAAACGGTAAAACACGTACGGCAGGATGAAGTAACGCGGTTCTACGAGCAACTGCGGCACCAGCATCGCGCTCACGCAAATAACGTAATTAATCTGCGTGAGAAATCGCAGATGAGCGATGTTTCGCGACATGGCGAACAGGCTCGCGCCGTAAATCGGTATCAGTAAGTATCTGAATGCCGCGTGTCGGCCCATGAATCGATTCCACACGTAGAACCAGTAGTGCCGATTGTCGGCCAAAACGTACGGATGAACGAGCGTGTTGAAGCGTATCGTCGCGGCCGTTAGCGCGATCGCGCAACCCGCGAGGATCCAGTGCCGACGTAGGAATTGCGAGCACGTTCGCCAGTGCGGCACCACGTACGGCCACGAGAACAGGGAGACGAAGGCGGAGAAGTAGAGTATCTGACAGAGGTGAACCGTCGCGACGTGGGCGGTACGATCGCCTATCACTATGCCGCCGTTCCACGTGACAAAAGCGACGAACATGAGGCATACCGTTAGATAGGGAAGTAGACTAGCGCACACCTGCGCGACGAACTTGAGGAAGGCCTGAGGACCTATGCGAAATTCGTACACTATCTGCCTCCAAATTAACTAAAATGTGATTCAAAATTACAATTCTGCTAAATTGTTTTTTCCTAACGTATCTCTCTCGCTCTTTGCAGCTTGTAATTCGTATCATGTTACTTACACGAAAGTGTAACGGAGTACTGAACACTCCAGGCGGGACGGGCTGCTCCATCCTGCGGCCAAATATATCTAATGCGCGCTCTATGGTAAAGAAACCCAGCCAAATGATGTTCGTCTGACGAACAAGCACGGCTAGTAAACCTGTATGTGTGATTCATTATTTTTATACTTGTATCACTCTCATATCAAGTATCGTTTCTACCTCGCGTGACTTATACAGCTGTGGAATAATTACCTGCAAGGGCCGTCATCGTCGTGTGCTTACGCTGGTGCAGATACATCATTAAGAGCACCACGTTAGTGGACACAACGTCCGTGTAATAAAAGAAGCTCCAAAAGTACAAGGGCGGGAAGAGCGTGAGATTGTACGCCAACGCGAGTATCAACCAACTGCTCCATCGATCCCTATCGTTCGACTTACAATTCACCTTTATAACATTGTAAAGAAGATAGAGATTTATGCACGTCCCAAGTAAATTTATACACCTCACGTACGTGACCTCGCAAAGATTAAAGGGCGATAATATCGTGGTGGTAATAAGGTACAAGCCCGGCAACGTGGTGATTTTAGGATCCCACTGAAAATAATTCACGACTTTATTTCTGCGTATAAAAATCATGTAAAAAATTACGTGCTCAAGAATGTACAAATACAAATTCTTTCCGTAATATATTTACCTGCGTAAAATTCCACGCGCAGTATCGTAATGTCTGAGGTATGTGGAAAGCCTCATCGATGAAATAATCCGGTTGGATACGATTCAGATACACGAAGAGCATTACGGTGCTCGTGAAAAATATAATCAACGTGAAGGGCATGAACATCTTGTAGTTCATTCTCACGTTACTGAGCCGAGACGCGACACTCATGGTCGTTTAAAAAAAACGTAGACCCAGATCGCTCGTGAAACTCGGTGAGACACCTCGATAAAAACGCGCGACTATTAAAATTAACGCCACGTCAAACGCATCCTCGACGTGACCGACACACTTTGGTTAACCTAACCAACTTTTCTAACCTCATTCTCAAATTTCTCGTTAAATCGCTGTTATGTCGTACTTTAACAGCGCGGTCGATTAATGTCGCGATAAAATGTACTGTAAAATATACTGTGGCTAGAGTGTTAAACGTTACTTTTGGAAGCCGACACGCTAAGATGCCACGCAATGCCGTGCCGGTACGTTCGTGTTTACAGACATTACAGTCAGAGCTCGGAGAAATTGAGGTTATAGTACGGAAAAGGATCGTCGCACTCGTCGCTCGACATCGTTGGCACGCCTGGGAACGCCGCGAGTGCCAACCCTTGCGCATGTACGCGAAGCAAACTTCAAATCGTTCGCGGCCTAACCATTTTCGCGCGGATATGACTCGTCAGGATGAGTGAATTCGTCCGTGACGATAATTCGTCTGAGCGGGATCGCGGAGCGAAGCGCAGAGATACCGAATCACCGCGACACAGGCGAACAAATGAGTAGAATACGAAAGAATTGACTCACCGTACGCTGCCCATGTCTCGCCGCCGCCGCCAGCTCCGTCCAAGGCCTCGCTCGATCCAAGATCCCCGCATATCCGCGACTCGTACTAATCCACAGGGTGGTCCACTCCTCGTTCACACTTCACACGCGACACTACTTTCGGCACGTTCCCGATCGCGTTCGGAGGCTAGGGGAACGACGCACGAACGAGACGGACGCGACGCGGCTTCGCGCCATTCCCCTCCGACGACCAGACTGGACAGTGGACTGCCGTAGTGCCGGCCGCGGTGCGCGGCGGTGAGCAAAATGGCGGCCGCGCAGGCGCGCGACGCGCGAATGCGAACGACGATTGGCGAGACGCGATCGCGATTGAATGTCGCGTTGAAATTACGTTTGATCGCTGCCGCACGCCTCGATTTGCCTGCCGCAACATTGGCACGATCGTTTTTTAATAATCTAGGCTCCCATTCGCACGCGGTGGTCGATTTCGATGGGTGAAAGCCGCGAAAGACGCGGAGCGGCTACGCACCTACTCGCGTGCGGCGATCCAAGCGACGCGAAGTTGTGGGACGCCGACCTCGACTTTTTAATTGTACTTGAATATCATTGATCGCGATTGCCATCGATCGTTGTCGCATACCTTGATTGACGGCATCGCGATACTCATGTACGAGCGTTCTTGATCGGCAATCTCGGGCCACGAATATCTCGGGAAAGATATGCGCGAATGAGTGCGGCGCGACTACGCACCTTCGTCCCCGCCGATTGACTGACGTCACGGACGCCGAGCCGAGAGACGCGGCGTGAAAAAACATGGCGGTTACAGGCGTGCGTTCAAGCGAAGGTTGGCGAATTAAAATATCGCATTGAATACGGCCATTTGAACGCTGCCTGCACGCGTCCCGAGATATTCGTGGCCCGAGATTGCGGATCAAGTAACGCTCGTACATGAGTATCCCGATGCCGTCAATCAAGGTATGCGACAACGATCGATGGCAATCGCGATCAATGATATTCAAGTATAATTGAAAAGTCGGTCCGCGTCCCACAACTTCGCGTCGCTTGGATCCGGACGCGAGTAGATGTGTAGCCGCTCCGCGTCTTTCGCGGCTTTCACCCAAATCGCCCACCACGTGCGAACGAGAGCCTAGATTATTAAAAAACGATTGTGCCAATGTTGCGGCAGGTAAATCGAAGCGTGTGGCAGCGATCAAACGTAATTTCAACGCGACATTCAATCGCGATCGCGTCTCGCCAACCGTCGTTCGCATTCGCGCGTTGCGCGCCTGCGCGGCCGCCATCTTGCTCACCGCCGCGCTCCGCGCGCCGCTCTTCGGCAGTCCAGTCTGGTCGTCGGAGGGGAATGGCGCGAAGCCGCGTCGCGTCCGTCTCGTTCGTGCGCCGTTCCCCTACGAGTCTCCGAACGCGATCGAGCGTCGGGAGTGTGCCGAAAGTAGTGTCGCGTGTGAAGTGTGAACGCGGTGTGGACCACCCTGTGGATTAGTACGAGTCGCGGATATGCGGGGATCTTGAATCGAGCGAGGCCTGGGCCTTGGACGGAGCTGCCGGCAGCGACGAGACATGGGCAGCGTACGGTGAGTCAATGCTTTCGTATTCTACTCATTTGTTCGCCTGTGTCGCGGTGATTCGGTATCTCTGATACCGTTTCCGATCGCGCTCGAACGATTATCGTCACGGACGAATACTTGTTGTAATGAATCATCCTCGCGAAAGTGGATGGGCTACGAATGATTTGAAGTTTGCTTCGCGTACATGCGTGCAAGGGCACTCGCACTCGCGGCGCACCGAGCGCTTTCCCAGGTGTGCCAACAGTAGTGGGCGACGATTCATTCCGACTATTCTAACCTCGATTTCTCCGAGCTATCAGCTGACCACAGCTGACTGTAAACACGAACGCACCGGCACGTTGCGTGGCCTCGTAGCCGGCTTCCAAAAGTATTATTTGATGCCACCGTATATTTTATCGCGACACTAATCGTCCCGCTGTTAAAATACGATGTAACAGCGATTCAATGAGAAGTTTGGAAATGAGTTTAAAAAAATTGGTTAGGTTAACCAAAGTGTATCGGTCGCGTCGAAAAATGCGTTTGACGTGGCGTTAATTTTAATAGTCGCGCATGTATTTTTATCGAGGTGTCACCGAGTCTCGCGAGCGTCCTGAATACCTATGGATCTATGGTTTTTTTTTTAAAGAGTTCCGTGTTTCGGCTCGATTACGTGAGACTGAATTACAAGACGTTTATGCACTCCGCGTTGATTATATTTTTTTCACCGCCGTATTACTCTTCCTGTACCTAAACAGTACTCTTTTGAGCGCGTGTAATTTTTTACGTGATTTTTATACGCAGAAATATGTCGTAAATTATTTTCAGTGGGATCTTAAAATCACCACGTTATCGGGCTTGTACCTTATCATCGCGCGATATTATCGCCCTTTATTCTTTGCAAGATCACGTACGTGAGATGTATAAATTTACTTGAGAGTTGAGACGTGCATAAATCTCTTATAACGGAGTTCAAAATAAAACACAGAAATCATAATGAAAATTGTCTTATAAGTCACAAATAAATACTAAGAATTGACTTCATTATGATATTATTTGATTCTATCTTATATCTGGGCCTATGTTAAAGGGCGCGATTAACATGCGAATGTTACAATACGTTGACCGAAGCATTAATCACAGCATTCTGCGTGCCACACTTACGCTTCTGCACAAGAAGTGACAAAAAGGACCCGTCAAACGAAGGACTTACGTAAATAAAATCAGGCGATTCGTTTATTAATCATTTTGTTATTTTCTCTCCACATAATTCTTTTACATGTTCACGCGAAAATACAACGATTTAGCAGTGGTCATTTTTTTTGTTATGCCGAAAGACAAAGATTGTAAAAAAAAAGTAAAAGTATTTCAACCCTTAAGTACGGATTTTGCTTCGTCATTTGACATAATATGCTCAACGTACAATTGATTGAACGCACATTTTTCGAAACTTTACGTTCTCGCGTTACCGATCTTACCGAATTTGTCCCGCTCGCGTGAAGGAAACGTAAAATGCGGAAAATTGCATATCCGTTTTCTCAATTGATTTGGTCGATGTGAGGGA